AATGCATAAAATAGTAGTACTTAATGCATTATAAATTGTTTCTAAGACTTTTAAGACTTTATGCATAAATGTATAGTAATTTTGGTGTATTAAAAATTCTTTTTAAGACTTTTGATAAATCTAGTTTATAAAGTAGTATAGATTATTAAAAATTAAAACGATAGTTTTCTAATCCCAATGCTTTCCATTTCCTTCGTCTGTTGACTCTTTCAATTTTATGTTGTTTACGTTTTCCAAATATGAAAAAGTCTAGAATTTACTATTGTTTGGGCACTGACCAAAACACCGTAACCTAAACGTATGAAGGGAGCATTAAAAAAAAACTCAGTATTCGTCATAAGGTATATTTTTACAATAAAAAAAATACAGTTTAAAATACGTGTAATCATTATATTTTGTAAATAACTGAATCATCATTTTATCTGTAATGATACAGACAAAACCTTCTCTATCTCCATCTCTTTCATTTTTTTAATTCCTGATCGGAATATGAAGAAAACTGTGGATGTGAAAGATGATGGTTTTATATTTGTCCATTTGTTATTCTTTTATTTCGTTTGATTTTTTTTTTTAATTTGTTTGAGATAAAGATGAACGTGACGTTCACAGGTCCACATGAGATATACGAAAACGAAGATAATGAAAATATAGAATTAGACCAAAAACATTTAATTTCATAAAATAAATAATAACTTATAAATATACATTTATTGACAAACAGTTAAAAATCACCTATGTAGACATGTTCATTGTTCACTACCGATCTATAAGCTCGCAAGTATGCATGTCTTAAAAATCCACCCTTGACAATGTGTATAAACTAGAGATGTTTTTTTATTAATCTGGATATCCAACTCGTTATGCGAGCTGACTAATCCTAGAACGACCACTTGCTTTGCAAATAGTCCGCAGTCACCGCATTTGAACCTCCGTGGCCACAAGGGGGTTTTTATTCCTCCTTGAATTTGAACCTGAGACCTCCAGGTACTTCTGACCTTTGGAGCCAAGCTCAAACCAATCAGGCACCACCTTTGTGGTTTAAACTAGAAATGTTTGTTGTATGGTCTATCGTTAAATTTGCAAATTGCACCTATATGTCTCAAATTCACACACGAAAATATGGTATGGTGTGGAAAGTTTATGTAGTTTAACGAACACTCCTAATATAAACTATAAACCAAAAAACAAGAACAAGGTCAATATACGATAATGCGAAAAGCTTATATCACATGTGATTTTATACTAAAAATCTATAGAATCACGTGTGATTAAGGAATGGTCAAACCTTCATGATCGTCAAGTCAAACATATACACACATCTTTGAGTTAACCATTTCATAATCACATATACTTTTTTGTATAAAATCATACTAGTTGTGTACCGGTGCAATGCAGCGGGAGCCGTGAAGTTTAACGATTTTGAAGTTTCATTGGTTTTATTAGAGAAGATTTAACGATGATATAAGTTACACTTGGTTCTTTACATATTAATACAATTTGAATAAATAACAGTTAAGGTTCTAATTACAGTCTATCGATAGAAAAAATTATATGACAGTTTAAAATCTAATATATTTAAAATCCAACGTATTTAAATTACTCCATAAATGTGTTCCATTTACACAAAGGACAAAGAATCAAGAGATCGAGAACGAGACCGAGAGTTTTAGAAAAATTGAATGAGAGATGAATGAGAAAACTTTTAATAACTCATGATGAATATTAGTTTGAATCTCACATTGGGGGATGAGAAGAAGACATAAAGGTATGAAATGGTGAAGATATGAGTGAAATGTATCAAAAGTATCTTAGAAACATAAAAAGAAAAGGTAATAATATGTGTTGGTAACTTATACTATATGTTATTTTAATTGTAGATTTTAAGATTAAATGCATAAAGTAGTAATATTTAATACATTATAAGTTATTTTTAAGACTTTATGTATAAATGTATAATACTTTATACATTAAAAATTATTTTTAAGAATTTTAATAAATCTGATCTATAAGATAGTATAGATATTATATACACATTTTCGTGCTCTGATTATGTTATGTGTAAAATAATTTGTACTATTTTGTCGTTTTGCTACTTTCTTCTTGGTTTTCTTTTTTATTTAATATTTATTTTCTTCAATATCATTATCCTTTTTATTTTTATTTAATATTTTATTTAGGAGTATTATATTAAAATAAAAATAAGTAGTATCTTTTTAATGGATATGAGTGGGCAAATAGCTAGCTGTTTTGGAGATTGGATAGAGATGGTCATTTGGTGGTGGCGCCAGAAAGGATCAATAAACCAGGGGCCACCAAATGCCACCACCCTACCCCCTGCCCCTGCCCCTACCCCTACCCCCTACCCCACACTTCACGTGTATTATGGCTTTTATTTCTAGTTCACATATGTTTGGCATTTCTTTCTTTTTTATTTTATTATTATACACAACCAATACAATTCTTTAAGGACCTTTTAAAATGAAAAAGTAGCCTTTTTAACCCCCTCAACTTTCTTAATTGTTATAACAACCCTCCATGTTATCTTATAATTCGTGTATGAAAATGTGTTAAAGTGGAATCTCTTTCGTTTTAATTTCTATTCTATAAATACTCGACCATCAAAATGAATTGTTGGTAAGCATCTTTTATTCAGTACCCTGATCGAGTAAACGTCTTCTCTTTCACTTACTGGGTAAGAGTCACGGTCTTTGTCATTCTCATCCGATAAGGAAGGTGACGTTCCTAAGATATAATAATCATTTGTTGATGGTAGTTGATCGCTTCTTGAAGGTATTTAGATTTATCTTACGGGTTTTCTAAGGCGTAAATTCAAAGTCAAGTTAGAAATCTGATATGTGGAAAGAAACTAAAGAGTATATGTAACGGTTCACATAGTTATTACCCGACTTTAAGGACCATCTTATTAATTTCTAAAGCCAAGTAATTAGTCAACGAGGGGATGCTTCGACGTAAGCGTTAGCTAGTGTTACACTGCAACTTGCATCTAGAGGTGGCCTTTATATCACAATAACATCTAAACAACTTAAAATTACGATGGTTGTACGTAATATCCATACAAACTCGATCATATTTAATATCCACATGAATAGGCTCAAACCCTGCTACGATTTTGCATATGGACTTCTCCAAACTCGATAATAGCTATGATCCTGATAATACGTAGATTAGCCGAACCGACGACAATTGGTCTCGATCTAACTCAGACCCTATTTTGTTGTCTCAAAGCTCCATCAATGCCAAAACATCAAGTTTAATTTTTCTACTTTCGACTTTATGTTACTTTATTGTGTTTAATAATTGTTATTTTAATTGAATTACATGTTTTATGTTATTGAAGTGAATAGTTGACCGTCGTTACATACTTTTATGAAAATATTTTTTTTGTTATAATGTATTCTCCTCTATCAATGCCAAAACTTCAAATGATCTGATTAGTATATAATGTATTGATTAGTATATATTTGTTTTACAATGTGTTTGTTTTATATGTATTCGGTTCACAATGTGAAAAATTTCACATGTATTTTTTGTTTCACAAAAACGTAAAAAATGTTCAGGTTGTGAACCGAGTACATGTCAAACAAATACATTGTGAAACAAATATATGTTAATTAATATTCTAAATCTCGGTCTTAGATGGAAAAATCATATGAAAGAACACATGATGCACAAGTTCTTAAGGTTATCATAATTTCATGAGTTCTCAAAAGAAGGTCCCCTTTTATCTCTAAGTATTTATTCTCTTCTACTATGTCCTTTTTCTTTTAACATGTGCTAAATCCTCCTTCAGGTGTGGTGTAAGTCGAACCTAGGAAGTAGTATGTAACACTTGGGTGTTGCCACTTTTTGTTAACTTTTCGGTTTGGTTACTCAAGTTGAAGATTTAACTCAACATGGATAAATCGATCACTTGAATGCATTAATATTTAGATCTTTGATGGATTCCAAATACAGCTGAGTGATGCAAGGAGGTTTGCGAAAATCTTCAACAATCACATGAGATATAGGTTTCTGCATAACTTTTACTAAGGTGCAGGATATCGTTTGAGTTGGTGTGTCATAGAGAAAAGCGTATCTCTCCATACCGGTTGAATTCAGATTTTCTTGATCTACTCAGTAAAGTTGGCAAACCAAAAGTTAGCAGCTGTGACCACTTTGTGACGGGACCATGGCCACATTCCCGCACGGTTTACTTTCGAGAGGAAGAAATCGTGTGGCCGATTCTTTCAACCAGAAAGTTACTAGTGTACTCTTAGAAAAAAAAAAACTTACAACTATACTCGATTTTTTTATTTACTTGTTAGTTAATATTAAAACTCACCTAATCACTGTAAAAAAAAAAACGTGTAATTGTATTAAAACCCAACTTTACACCGGAAGTTCATGAAAATTTCAGATTTTTAGTAAAACCAGTCCCCGTGGATACAATCTTGGTACTTACCATTATATAAGACGAATATAGTAGTTGGTGTGCATTTGTATCACTATCGTGCCACATTCGCATATATATATTTTTGCTGTCAATTACACATTTATAGAGGGTCATTTACCAAACACTTACTCGGATAAACCTTTACCGGTAAAATTTGGTAAACGGCCCATAAGTCTTAAAGAAAACACTCTTTTTCAGCTTTTTTATACAAAACCCTTCTTTAGAGCATCTCTAACCGCCATTAGGTTTTGCTGGTTGTTTCGCTCCAACTAGCCGATATAAGCATCGGCAATTTTGTGTTTTAACATGTAGTCTTGGAGGTTGCTATTCTAACTACTTAAAAGCCGTTTACCAAACGCTTACCCAGGTATGCGTTTACCAAGTCACATTACCTTACGAGATGAATATAATAAAAACCAAGAATCTTACCAATAATTTATAAAAAACAGGCTAGTTGTAGGGTTTAGTGTCATGGCTAGCTCACCCCACATCTCTTTTTTGACCAGTACAATACCAGTTATTGTTATAATAAATGTACAATTATTACCAATAATTTCTGACTGCTGCTTTTCTGTATCACAACTGTCGCTTTTTTAGCATCCAATGTCTAAATAACAATAACTCATGTTGGGTCATCTCAATTTCACCATATTTCTCAAGAAACTTTAGGAACTGTTACTACTACCATCAAAGATGAAGAAAGTCGGTAAAAGTGGCGGAAAGTCGTCGTCTGTCTACTGGATGAGATGATAAGAGAGGTCTCTGAGTTGTTGAGGATCGACCTCTGAAGGTGAACGAGTAAGAGCACATTGTGCCGTCGTCGTTTTGGGGAACGCTATCACGTCCCTTATCGAACTGCTACCGCTCAGTAGCATCACCAATCGATCTAACCCATAAGCGATTCCACCTGCAAAAACCATTCCACTTTCATCAACAAACGAAAACAAGTTTAGAACGTGGTGCTACAGCCATCATTGACGGATGGATACGCTGCGAGTTATTACTGCAACGGATCTAAATCCAAATCCCACGAAAATATTTTGAAAAGTAAAATGTAGTTATCGCTGTCAAGACAATTTCTTCAAGACTTCAAAAAGATGCATATTAATGTTCAAACCAGACCAAACCAAACATGCTCGGTACATCCCACCAGGAGGTAGGATTTGGAGGTATAATGTATACAGACCTAACCTCTATCCAAAAAGTAGCGCATGTGGTGCTTTCCGGTAATTCATCACAAAAGTTGAAAATAAACCCAACTTCCATTTTCTTGGTAAAATATGGACCACCGGTTAGTTTTGGTTATAAATTATTGATTTTGCCAACATTGCTCGTTTCTTGTCATTGTCAAGATGTAATTTCATCGTTTATTATAAGTACTGGAGTTCTGATCAGGTGATGGCTTTTGTTACCGTGTGGAGGAGCACCCATGTCAAGAGCTTCCAGAAGATACCCAAACTTGGCTTCAGCCTGCAAATAGATAAAGCCATTACCTTGTAATCATTATCTGCCCAATAAGACCATTTGAACCATCAATAGTTAATTTATGTGAGGTTCAACCAACGAGCAACTATGGGTTCACCTGCTCTAGGGGAATGCCAATGATCTCTAGAACCTTTTGCTGGACATCTCGCCGATAAATTCTCAAACTTCCTCCACCAATCTGAAATTGAACCAAATAAAAAAGAATCCTTGTAAAAGATTCAACATTTCATCTCATGAATCTCATGCATATATATATATATGATTGGCACAAAAAATAATCAAGTATCAACAAATGGAAACAAAACCTCTTACTACAACAAATATACCTCGACACCATTGTAGACCATGTCATAAGCCAAGGCACGAGCGGAAGCAAGATCATTCATGTCCTCGGGATTTGGAGCAGTAAAAGGGTGATGAAGCGCCTGCAAAGGTAACACGGTCTAGCTTTAATTGGCGAGGAAAATAGCAGTTTTGTTTGAACTATTACTCCCTCCGTCCCAAAATAAATGTCCTCAATGGAAAGAACACAGTTTTAGCGGGCATGGCCAGCTCCCATAGTGTGACGGGAAGTGTGTACAAGGCCCGGGAACAGATTCAAACAACTTTATAATTAACTAAATGACAATTTTGCCCTTGAGGGAGTAATGAATATCTCCATCTCATAATTAAGGGTAGAATTGGAAAGTAGGCACTTACTTTTGGAAGTGGACACTTATTTTGGGACAAATCAGCATAGAAATGTGGACATTTATTTTTGGGAGAATGGAGTATTAATTAACATTTATTCAGCATGGTACAAACCTCAAGCCTCTGCTCGGCATCATTCCATTCAAACATCGGAAAATCTGTTACCCACAAGATAGAATGCTTGGACTGCATATCATACAAAAATAACATTTTAACATAATATGCGCATGCATAAAAGGATGAAGAAAAGTGAGTCCATGTGACCATGAACAATAAAAACTCACATGGTCAACCATGCCCATCATGTTGGCTATATACAGCCTTAGCCGGTCTAATGTTTTGTTAACTGATGCAGGGAAGCCTACTGCAAACAAGATAAGGTCGCCTGATCCTGCCTCGCATCTTTTCAGAAACAATTCTTTTTTCGTGGGATCCAAACTTGATGTTAGTGCAGAAATCCCTTCAAGTTGCCCTACAAGTAACGAATTCCATCTATAAACAAAAATATCCATAACCAATGGGATGCAACAAATATCCACATATAGACATATACGATCCATATCTATATCTGGGATTTGAATATGAATATTGATCACATTTCTATCAAAATATACTTAATATCCGAGGCCCATAATCTTWCTCATATAAGATAATAACATGTAATTGATAGTACAAGTTGTTGAATTAAAATAMTAATATAAGGATGTGTGTTCTACTAAGTAAATAATGTTTCCAACAATTAAAATAAAATTATATTYGTTGCTCATTACATAAAATATTTTTACCGCTAATATTTATGCATTATACTTCTAATTCTCATCAAATATCAAGYAAAAAGTATATACTATCGGAATTGATCTGCGAAAGAATAGATATATCAAATATCCACAAAGCAGTGACTTTAAAGAGCATGTAAGTAAACCACAAGGGTGGTGCYCGATTGGTTTGAGCTTGGGCTCCAAAGGTCAAAAGTGTCTGGAGGTCCCAGGTTCGAATCCAAGGAGGAATAMAAATCCCTTGTGGCCACGGAGGTTCAAATGTCGTGACTCCGGGATACCCGCGAAGCGGGTGGTACCCTGAATTAGTCAGCTGGCATAGCGGGTTGGATATCCATGTCAATAAAAAAAAAGGAGCATGCAAGTATTCTTAATTATTACCATCTTCCAAGATCTTCAAAAATGGCAACCCCTTTGCCCCAGATTTGATTGCTTCACTGACAATATCACCTTTCTTCAGAGCAGTGTTGGAAAAAGCTTTTGCTCCTGAAGGCACACATATTACCTTGATAAYCCCTCCACTACTCAATGCATCTGCGAAAACTTTGAAGGAGGAATCTGAGAAAATATCAGAAACCTGCAAWTGCAACAATAACAATAAGGAGAAACATGAATCTTTYGATACAACAAAGCACAAAAGAACTACRCAGTGCAAAGAAAAATGTTTACGTCTTTGAGTTGAAGATCAAAACGGGTATCYGGCCTGTCTGAGCCATAACGACTAATTGCTTCAGCATATGTAAGCCTTGGGAAAGGMTTTGGTAGTTCTACGCCTTTGATATCTAGAAAAACCTGCAACATGCTAACAGTTTATACTTTGCTGTAGATTTGCATCGGGCCTTAGATAGCTCATTTGACAGTTCRAAATCAMAKTGATTAAGTAGACTACAGAAGAACAAGATMTAGGGATGAACTTATAAACGTATTTGAAAATGTACACATTTCAAACTAAACCATAAGAGGAAAAAATTACCTCATAATTAACACATTAAATATATAATATACACATGCCTATGCTTAAGTCTTWTCCTACTTTTTTAAGAGATACMWAAGTTGCCCTTGTGGTATCCCAGTCCAATATCTGTGTGCTAGTAGTCAACAATTTGAAGATACGGTCAATGCCGCACACATGCACATACTCACACCCCAAAACGTGAAAGAACCRCACCCTTAAAGCCAATATAAAGAAGCAAAACTACAGACAACATAACTCAACTTGATGCACCAAAAGTCCTTGGCTCTATCAACAAAAGTATTCATTCACAACCTTTCTATGACTCAAACACATGATCTTCCRCTCACAAATGAGAAACTGGTACAAGTTTGAGTCATTTTAAATAAGAAGAAAGATAGTTTARAATCAAACCATCTTTCCYCATTGCATATCAAGTGTTTCTAACCTTTCTAATCAAATCTTCATTGAGCCTTAACATGTCCTCAAGAGGGGTGAAAGCCAATTCCATATCCAATTGTGTGAATTCAGGTTGCCTATCCGCCCTTAGATCTTCATCCCTAAAACATCTGCAAGAAAACAAYRTTGAATWAGTTGAAAMGCAAAAACCCATGTAACAAGAAACACAGCAAGCTCTMCAAGTAACTGTCAACAAACAATTTATATCTGATGACAAAATAAATAAAAGGGCACCTTGCTATTTGATAGTATTTGTCAAATCCAGAGACCATTAGCATTTGCTTGAACAGCTGTGGACTTTGGGGCAAAGCATAGAATGTTCCTGGCTTCATAAAGCGAACTAGTATAAAATTAGAATACAATTACCAATAGATCCCACCAACCATAWAATTCCTGAATAAATTCTAACATCARCAAGATATCTAATATMTGTTTGTTTGTCATYGCGAAKACTTTGGAATACATCTAATATCTGAAGCCAACTACATTTKWTTTACATACTTGTGTCAAACAAATCACAACTAGCTCACTTTAAAGTCAAAGCTACATTCGATTTACATGCTAGGCATTCTATGTGATTTGATTCCTCTAGAAATCTCTTTTAGGTAGTCTTTGCCCACTATCAATTGCATGTAGTTGAATTGTTTCTTGATCCAGAGTTCCATTATGTAATTTGTAAAACTAAACAAGATGAAGAGATGATAACAGGTACGTATGCTTGCATATCAAAGAAGGTTCSTTAGACTCCCCCATAGGTTCTTCGTTGTTCGGACCTCCTCTGGCTCTAGTAAATAGGTTGTAGAGGAATTATTGTTGGTGTTTTGTGTATGCAATTTAGTTTAAGCATTCGGAGTATATATGTAGCAACCAATGAGATTATTTACAGGTTAAACCGACCTTTATACATGCATCATATCACACATAGTTTAAGTAACTTGAGGTCTACAAGAAAGAAAATAAGGGATAAACAAACTTATAATCAAATAAACTTATAATCAGTTTTATCACATGCAAAATTAGCTAAGAAAAGTGCATGTGGAATGGTAGAAGAAATTTAATACCTGGACTCTCGATGGAACCAGATAATCCCGAGCACCTTCAGGAGTCGACCTAGAGAGTATTGGAGTCTCAATCTACCTTACACCCATGAAAAATTCAGGATCAAAACAAAGTACGGATGAACAGTTTTTAAAGAAGCCAAATGTTCTGTATTTGATAAGTTCAAACCTAAGTTCTCAAGAAAGTACCTCCACAAAACCATGTACATCTTCTAAATACCTTCGCATAAGCTTCACTACTTGATGTCGCAGCATTATGTTGGAATTCATTTGTGGTCGACGTAGATCAAGACAACGATATCTACAAAATGAGTCTTAATACTTCACCAAAAGAGTTCCCAAAAAATAGAATCCATCTTTAGTGTAAATGTTAAAAAAAATAACGATTATCAATGTAATATGGGACAAGATTATAAGACCAGAAATAGTTCATATCGAGACATGTGGTCATAGTTGGCTAAGTGACCAACAAAGGACTAACAAGATCATTTTCTGTGAAATCAAAGTCTTTTCAACTAGTGTAAATGAAAATAGCTGTGTCTAGCTAAATTGATAATAAGATGGTTGCTCAAAAATTGTTCATCTGATGCTTATGTATGAAAACAGCCGCTCTACTCTTTTGGGAAATTAGGTGTGTGTACATCCCATCCCCGAAACCGGTTTGGTCTTATGCTTATGTAAATGAAAATATTGGTGTAATTATAAATGCCAACATGAACATGTCACACTGACACCTGGTTTAAACTATGAAACTCGAAGTAGGGCAAAATCTTTTTATTCAAACCAGAAAAACAGCAGTCAATCTCACTCAGATGTCAGATAGAAAAAGACCTCAGGCGAATTTCCTCTTTGATAGAATCTTTTGCATCCTCTGCACTGGTAACCAAGAATGGCAACTTAGCCCTCACGGAATTCAACACTTGGACTAGCTCTGCAGTGACCTGAAGTATATTTAAATTACAACAYTAAGATGATMTATAGCTATTTGAAAAGCCTAAATCACAAGTAAAGTAACCCCACCTCTATAATGCCAGTCTTCATGTTTTTATTAATCRAATCACTTGGACGGAGCCGAACAACACCTTCTACAGACACGACATACTCGATTCTCAAGTCATTCACCATAGAATGAGCATCAGGGAATTCATTAGGAAGAGTTGTAACCTGATTTTAATAAATCCAACCGTCATTCATTCATTCATTCATTAATACATCTAAAGCAAGACGGTAACTTGCTCTAATTTAGATTGCTATTTATAAATAAAAACAATATAACATGGTTCTCTATTAATATCATAAACCACATTGGCATTAACATATACACATTAAGATAAATCTTTGCTCTATGTTCGAGCTAATGATGCAAATTTATAAGTAAATAGATATGGGATTAAGAGCTCCACAGCTTGTGGTTTCTTGATGTAAAATTTAGACATATTCAAGTAATTAATCATGAATCAAACATGCCATAAGCAAGAAGACAGTGCAATGGTAAAATCTACTTTTGGGGGGTCTTATTTCTTATTCGTTGTAAACTTTCCAAGTTAGAAAACACCAATATGACCGTTATTCATTGCACCTAAACATTTATTCCACATATAATGAACAAAAGCCCAAATAACCAATTAGAAAGGGAAGTACAATGTAATCCAAATTCGAAATTTTAGAAAAACTCAAAAGGCATAATGAAATAATCGATGATGGAACCGATTCATAGTTTCAAAATTCAGCATTGGAATCAAGAAAAGGCATCAAACAAACAAAAAGACGAACCTGAACGATTCCAGAATGGTCTCTRAGATTAATGAAAGTGAGCCCACCATGACCCCGATGAAGTGCGACCCACCCACACAATCTAACCCGTCTACCCACATCATCCTCAGATAATTCGCCGCATAGACCATTTCGATTGACCCATTCAAGAGTGGCGGTTTCTTGAACGGATCCGGGTAGGGATTRTTGTGGTTGTTCCTTACCAGTTGCCGGGAAATTACTGACAACCGGTTCAGTCGTGGAAGCAGACACAGAAGAGAAAGATTTTCTCAAAAGGGGTTTGAGAATTAGGCGATTAACACGAAACAATGGAAGTGATTGACGGGAGAGATGTCTGGATCGAATTGCTATGTCGGGTAAGACCCGGAGAATTACGGACATGGYTTTGCAGATGGTGGAGGAAGGGCTTATCTATTACCCTGAGACGAYGGGAGGGTTTTATGGATTGCAAGTTACTTCATATTTGATCCCTGAGGTTTCAAAGTTAGTCAATTTTGGCCCATAMGTTTAATATTTTATAATTAAGAAACTATTTTTGAAAAAACAAAACATTACAATTGTTTTATTAGGATAATTATTCTTTTGTTATTACAATTATTTTCTTTAAACAAT